CGACACCACATAGGCAACTAATGGATCGAAAGCAAGAATCATATTGAACACATCCTAACATGACTTCTAGACACGAACAACACCCGAACATGTAAATTCCCACCCAAACATAAAACAAGATCATCACAATACAAATTCCCAATCCAACCTAGGGCTCTAATCCCATCCAATTCATCAAATCATATTTTATCTCTATCATCAAGAAACATCAAGATTTCATCAAGAATCATCACATAAATATCAAGAACCTCTTTTTAACATCAAGATCATCAAGATTGCACATAAAATCATCACATCAATCAACAGGATTATATCACGAATAACATAAAGGAATTCATCATGACACAAGCATATAGAGGGAGTCAAAGAAGGAGATTATAGCAAGGAAAATAGGTTTTGTTGAGACATGGGTTACCTCTTAGCCTTAATTAATCCTCCCTTGGCTATTAAGGTTCTTCCCGAAGATTTCCATCCGTTTGATCTCCCTAGGCTTTGGTGGTGGGGAGTCCCTTAGGAATTCTTGTGTAGTGATATCTATTGTGGTGTGACTTATAGGTGCCTCCTATGTCCCTATATATATATATATATATATATATATATATATATATATATATATATATATATCTAGGAGTCCTAATTAGGGTCTGAATGGTATGGGTTTACTAATTCTATTCCTTATACGACTAAGGGCTTGGTTTAGGGATAAGGGTCCATGGTCCATGGTGGACCATATTAATTAATTAAAGGGAATCATAACCAAATTAAATCCTTTTTAATTATTATTATTAACGGGATTAATTAAATAATTAATTCGGGATTAAAGACCGTAACACGGTGTGTTACACTCTCCCCCCCCCCCCCCCCCCCCCTCACAAGAAGCTTCGTCCCTGAAGCTTAGAAATCATTTTGGGGTAAAGAGCCCGAATTAGTATAGTAGTTCATAAGGAAAGTATTATATGAGAAATATATACACGTACACATATAAATGCACTGGGTTTGAGCCTAACTATTGTGCTAGCAAAATGCACCAAATAACAAGGTCACGAATATGCAACACACAATATGTAAGTTTTACGGGTGACTAATACATAACATAGAATTCTTACACGGGGCATGTTCTTTATTTAATTATTTTATAATGATTTAACATATAGGATCACAAGTTGTACCGATCATGTAATTATTTATGTACCTAAATGAGAGGCAAATACCATGCGGGTGCAGATTCGGATAGCCACATAATTATTATAAAGTATATATGCACATATATCAACACAGGCGAACCTCATTTACGAATGGATGCAGACGTTTAATTATGTAGTGTAGCATGTTGTGAGCCTAGATGCCATATATGTAGGATCTATGTCTAATCTTTGTGCTTAGCAAATTATACCAAATATTCATAGTTACAAAATAACAAGCCTAACATGTATGATAATTAACTATTATGTTATATGCGGAACCTGCAAGTCGTCATGCCTATATGTATACAGTCGTAATTATGCTAAATATGCAATTTCTTAAGTCCATAGGCATAGAGTATGAAGGCATGTGAACCTATTTCAAGTCTTAAATAATAACTAGTCTTATGGAATCGTATGTATTATTCAACATGTTAACTAGTGCATGATTAACAATTAAATTCACGTACGTAATATCGTGGCATAACCAAACTTTTGTCATATAAATTCAGGAAGGTCATAAATCATATAACAATTATTCAAATAGCGAAAATCAGATTTTGAGGAAAAGATTGTAAGTAATTAGGGGGAAGGTTCTTGCTTCTTATGGGGTAAATAAATTATGGGGAGACAATAGAATTAGGGTCTTTATTTTGCATACCAATAACGGTGGGTGATCACATAACAAGTATTGGCACTTATATGCAGATTGCTTATAGTTAATAATATTGTATATATGCATAGTGAGATGCCTTATAACATACCGTTTTTGTCTAGCATGCTTTGTATATGTACATAAATGTGTGTAAGTGTGTGTTTTGACATAAACATGCGAGCTATGTGATTTGACATGCAATACATATGAAAAAATATAAATTTCCACCTATAAATGGGACCATGCAATTTGCATATAAATTAAATATTCTTTAATAATTACAAGTAAGATAGCCTAGGTTCACAAATACTAATGGCAGGTTTGGTTCATGGAATAGGTCAGGAATGGAATAACATTCCTTGGAATAGACCTATTCCATCGTTTGGTTGGATCATTTTGTCATGGGAATAACATGCCTAGGAATGAGCTATTACCTTTGCAAGGGGAATAGCCATTCCTAGGGGGGCCCTGGTATTAGCTATTCCCATGCCCTTGGGAATAGCTTTTATATCACAAATACCAAAAATAGCCTTTGCACATTATGTAATATTTATATTTATTTAATAAATATAATATATTATATAAATGCATATATTTAATTAATTATAATTTTCATCTATCAATATATATATATATATATATATATATATATATATATATATAT